GTTACTTCCAACATCTATAAAGAGTTCTAACAAATCAATAAGACTAAAAGTATAAATGGAAAAATAGATGAGAGAGGGCTGGCTGAATAGCTCAGTGGACTAAATGCCTGCTTAGGTAGGTACAGGGACCACGGTTTGATCCCCAGCACTACATGCTGTGCCAGTCCCAGCCACAGGTATGCTGAGCTGGTCATAGAGAGCTGGTGTGGTGGTGCATGCCTGTAATCCTGTTGTAACTCAAAAATGAGGCAGGCTCGAAAAGAAAACAAGTGCTTTATTTTAGCTGGTACCCAGCAGCAGACAACTGGCAAGATGCTGAGGTGCATGCCGGGAGTATGAGGGGAGTGGGTATTTAAGCCAATAAACCACAAAAGCTGACTTCAAGGGTGTTATACCCTGACAAATTGACTTCATTTTGTTGCCCTTCTAACCTCGCTGAGTTCCTGTTCTGTATGCGCCGACCCCTCCCAATTCCTCCTCCAATTCCTCACCCCTGTGACTCAAGTCTTATGATATCTGTTCCCCAAACCTTATCTTGTCCTGCAGAACTCCTCGTGATTTCAGCATCCCCGCCCAATGCGCCCACTCGATGTACTCATGACTGCCAATTCAGCACCTCCACCCAACAGAACCACCCCATAAACTAATGACTCGCTGTACCCCGTGATTGCTGATTTCAGCACCCCACCCAATAAGGACCACCTAATGAACTAATGACCCTGCCACTTCTTCCTCTCCATCCCTTCCCTGTTTTTGCGGTTTTCAAGCTTAAATACTGACCCCTTGTCAATGCCCGGCGCACCTCTTTGCACCTTGCATAGAGACCGCCGCTGGGTACCAGCTAAAATAAAGCGCTTCTTTTTAACTTTTGGACTTGCCTCGTTGTCATCTGATTTTTGAGCTACAACAAAGGGTTCATCTAGGGACTACAGTTGAAAAATTACCTGTTTCTAATGAACAATAACAGGTGCAGTGGTGGATACAGTTTGTAGCTGGGAACAAGCGCAAGACCAGGGCATTGGGCCGGAACTAGATTCAGGTGTGCACAAAGGACAGTGTGAGAAAGGCCCAACTGCAGGTTCTCAAGTAGAGGACGGGGCACAGTGGAAAGTTACAGCATTTAGAATGGCGCATATAGAACAAGATGACGGCGCATATGTCAGGTTATAACAGTTAATAAAGTTACAGTGGAAGCATACAGAGTTACAAAATTGGAATCAATTGCACAGGTTATAACAATCCCAGCACTGGGGGGAGGGGCTGAAAACAGGAGAATCATTATGAGTCCGAGCTGTGTAGTGAGACACTGTACCAAATATATTAAAAAAAAAAAAAAAAAAAAGATGAGAGACCTGAGCGGGAAATTTACAAAGAGAAGTTATCCAAATGGCTAAAATCCATATGAAAAAACACTTACCTACATTAGTAATCAGAAAAATTCAAATATGAATCGCAGTGAGATCCACTTTTTATTCATTAGAATCTTGCACAATGATGAATGCAACTATTTCTTTACACAGTAATGTGTGAATCTTATAATGCTTGAGAAAAAGAAATCAGAAATCTATATCATTCTATTTATAAAAATGTTAAATACAGGTAGTACTAAACTATAACCTATGGGAATAAAATTTATTTGATCAATTTACAAGAAGGCAATAATGGACAACAGTAAAAGTTACTACTTGGAGGTGTGGAGGCAGTGAGGAGAAAGACTAGGTAAGAATCTAAAGGCAAAAATTCTGGACTCATGCTAATACTCTGGTCATGTTTGTTTTCTAATAGGGAATGAATCTTGTCTTTTTATATCTTTTCTCTATGTGTATAATATTTTAAAGTAAGTTGAGAAATGAAAAAAATAAAGAGCACCCCCACCTCATTTTGTAGATGAGACTAAGGGGCCAATTCAGATGGCAGGAGGACAGCTCCTTTCAGGATATTGCAGGGAAGCCAGGTCAGCAAGGGTCCACCTCCCTCATACCTTTGTCTACACTAAAGAGAAACCAACTTCAGTCTCATTTAGGTCAAACTTTGAAGAATTTCTTTTCCTTGTAGCCAAGTCAAATCTCAATTTCTACAAAGTAAGAACTGGATTCTCTGTACCTCATACTTAGCAAGTCACTATTACATATTAAGCCTAGTGATTCAGCAATTTGTTTCAGAACAGCAGGGAGAAACATGCTTAAAAAAAATTGGGACTGTCTGAAAAAAGTCACAAACTACAAGATTGTAGAAAACCTAGCTAGGAGACCATGACTAGTTAGAGTTAGACAAAATCAATTTTGGCTTTCCTACAAGAAGTTAGAACAGCTGCCAAATATAGGAGGAAGGTTTTGATAGATCTTGGCCCTAGTATGAGTTGTTGAATCATCATGGTGGTCATCTAATATGGCTGAAGCCCCTAAAACAAAAGCCCATCTCCCCCAAGACCACCTCCCTGCTTCTCCAACTCAGCCCGGGATACAATTTTATCCTTCCAGCGGCCTCAGGGCAGACCCCCAATCTGCTCTCCCAAGTATATCTAAACATCCCCTTCAAACTCCACCCCTGGTAAAAGGTCATAAAAGCCTCAGCCTTCCTTTGTTCCAATTGAGAGAATTCTTCATCTTCCCCAAATCCCTCAAGGATAATAAAGCCTCTTTCCCTTTTTCCTTCTGTCTGTTTCTCTTGTGTTCCAGGTGCCTGAAAAACCTGTCAGGTTTGACTCCTCTGGGTTTCCCTCATTGTACTGGAGGCTAACATTGTGGATACAACCAAAAGAAAAAGAAGTTTTCATTAAAGTTTGCTGAGGATCAACTTGACTCAAAGTGACCTCCTCAAATGTCTTTGGAATCCTAGCACAGAAAAACAAGGACCTGAAAAATATATTTTTCAGAACTGACTTTATTTAGATTTATATGGTGGATACCGAGTCTTGAACTAAGCTCAAAGTAGCATCAGGGACAGGTCACACTAATTTCCAGAATCAGATTGAGCTCAGGCTACTTTGAAATGAGTAATGAAGCAAATCAGAGTTGTTTTTAAATGTATAAATCCATTAAAACAATTGGACTCAGGGTTAAAGTTGTATATTCCCTAGATTTATTCAGCTAGAAAAATCAAAATGTTCCCTAACCTGAATCTGAAATGAATTGTATCATTATGCAGTTGGTTCAAGTTCTTGGATGATGGTGAGTGGGAGGAATGGCACGGGGGAGCTGAAGTGGGGGAGCCTCTGTGGGTGGCAGGAGCCTCTACGTGCCTGCTTGTGTTTGGAATGTAACACAAAACCTTGTTAGGGATCTGACATGCCTCAGCTCCCCTGCACAATAGCAGTTCAGCCATCAAAGATGAAGATGACCTATATTTGTCTGTATAGACTCTGCATTTGCTGTTTAATCAGTCCTGGGAACATCAGCCTGGGTTCAGGGAAGACTGCCCAATTTGGCCTTGTGCTTAATTCTCCCTAAGATGGGCAGCCTTTCTGACAGGAATAATTTGTTTCGCAGAGAATACGATGCTTTCTTCTTGAAGCGTACTCCTCAGGCATAGCAAAGCCACCCGGTGTCTTTCCAAACAGTCTACAGGAGACGTGAAGTTTGATCAAGGGATGGTTTCACCAACACAGACACCTTGGTTCTGAATATAATACATTGTAATGCAAATGGCTTCACTCCTTCCCAGGGAATCAGGAGCTTTTCAAAGAGGTACAAGAGGTGGAAACAAATGGCTGCTCAAAGTGAAATAGAGAAATAAAGCAAAACACTGTCACTGTGCCTTGTCTCTGGGAACCGCAGAGCTGTCTAACAGCAGGAATGACTTTGACTCTTGCTGTGCCAGAGAGAAGGAGGCCAAGAGGCAAGTCCCTGCTCCTACCTGTCAAACCATAGACAGAAGAGAGAGAAAGTGATATGGGTTTGGTGTATTGATGTTTTAGAGATATCAGTATTGGTGATGTACTGAACATCAGGGATGGATTGACTTAACCCACACTTTACATTGTATTAAGCACTGAAGGTTTGGTTAGAGTACAAATATTAACGTTATTACTTTCCTCTAGAAGGGTGCCCTATTGTGGGAATGGCAGGCAGGAATGGTTGGGGCTCGAGTTGCTCAGCCCCTAGAGCAGCAGAGATGGACACATGTGCACAGCAGGCTACTTGTTACCACTGAAAGCTCAAAAAGCTTTGCCATCCCTGCCCTAGGGCGATTCATATTTGAGGATGCTTTGAGGCTGCTGGGCTAGCTTAGTTAGGGAAGATAGGAAGGACAACAGGATGAATCAGTGACCAAAGGACCATATAAAGCTCATTGTGTAGCTCCAAAGACAGAATGAGGCAGTGAGGGAAAGTTGCCATAATTTCTCCCTGCCACTCTCAGTTTGTCCAGATGGAGCCTGTTGTTCTTTGAATCAAGAGAGAGCCCTTACCTCACCTCAAAGACTCTGTACTGCCTAGTGCCTGCTGTATCTCAGCCTGCGCAGGCTTTTCTACCTCTCCATGCCATCAGCCTTGTCTCTCGGTTTCCAGTTTGCAATGCTTGTTCTACCCCAGGGCCTTTATACTTGCCACTTAGCTTTATCTGGTATTGGGTTTGTGCTGCAATACCAAGTTCTAACCTCTGTTTTTATACTTGTCTTGCAAATATTAGCTTAAGAGACTATAAAAGCTAAGTAATTTGCCCAAAGTGCCACAGCTAAGAATTTGAATGTAGAGAGTGGGGCTCCAGTATCTGAAGCACTACAACAGATCAAGAAATATTGGTTGAAGAAATTCACTTATGAATTAGATTGACCAAGGAGAGGCATGGGTGTGGGCTGTTCTTTCTGCTTAAGACAGATGCTAACATGTTAAGTGTTTATTACAAGCCCCACCTTTTCTTTTGCTGATAAAGAATCTTGAGACTGACAGTGTTTAGTAACAGATAAAATAGCTAACAAATGGAAGGATTTGGATTTCAAATCCTTTTAAATCTGGTATTGTATTATCCCCCACATAAAACTGGGACTAGAAAATGCTGATATAAAAAGGAAGAGGCTTCTGCACATTTGTGGATTTTAATCATGCGCACCCAAGCACACAGACAAAGCCCTTTCAAATGAAAGAGCAAAGTGTTTTGGATTTAGATTCTTTTCTCTCTCTCCTTTGTGAATTCAGCTCAGCTAAGGTACAGAAAATGATGGTGGGCCAGGGGCCATAGCTCATCAACATAGTGCCTGGCCTG